TTCGTAAATGTTTTTCTTTTCTAACTTTTTAACGATTTGTTCGCATAATTAGGTACTCCGAAAGGAATATAACCAGAAAAGAATAGATCATAGAACAGAATCATAGGGATCATCTTACCCCTACCTGGGGGATCATCTTACCCACAGGGGTGTACAAGATGATCACTTTGTAAGGTTTTGCAAAAAATGAAATATTTTAATGAAACCTCAATTAATTTCTGGTTTTGAGTATAAGGAAAGTTGGATAGATAAATATACTAGTAGTAATCGTCTTTATTTTTGGTTTACCTTGAAAAATATGTATTTTACAGCGATTCCCGCTTAAGGGGATCATCTCGTACTACTTTCCCCTAATACTTCTTACATTTAATGCTTTCCTACATTCATAATTATGTAGAAATGGTACAAAAAATTAAAGACAGTTACGAGATTTTCAATTAAAGTTACAGAATCTTTCCATGACATACATTTCATGATTCTATAAACAAATAGAGATGTAAAACTTTCAATGACATTTACATAAAATCCAAAATAACATAATAAAAATAGATCTATCGTGCGGAATGTCTACATTTAGCTACTTGGAATAACTTTATGGAGATTCTAATTAACTACTGCCAATCTATTTTTGCATTATAAATACGCATTGGCTGCTAAATTTGCATTTTTGTTATGATTTTGTAGACGTATGTAGATGAGTCGATTCAAAGTTGGTGTTGTGATACCAAATCTTCCACGCACAACATGTTTTTAATCAATGTTTTATGTATGGGGTACTGTCTTTGTAGCGGTCATTAATTTTATATTGTAGTAAGTAAGTATACGACTGGACGTCTTAATAAGTGTCCATAATTTTCAGGTTGATTTTTCACCAAAAAATCTATGGTAGAGACTAAAAGACGTGATAAAAAAACTGGAAATAAAATCAGGAATCAGAATTCAGGCCTTACTGGGTTTTATCGATCGACAGAGAGCAAATCACCGCTTTCCCCTTTTGTAGTTTACCTGGGTAGTCGGGAAGAGATCCGCGATAAGATCGTCTAAGTTTGCTGTTTCGATCCTGTATTTCCTCTAAAAATGGACTAACATTTTACATTGGGTACAATAAAGATTTCTACCTTTCTATTTCTCTATTTTATTTAACAGTTGAACCACAGAGAATTACGTTAAGTACGAGTATATGATGCAATAAGTCATCGGCACATGCGCGTTCGCGGAAGCGGTAGTATTTATAGCGGGGGTAGGTCACGGCTGCGCAGGTGAGGGCGCCACCTGTGCTGCCAAATCTGAATGTACCTCTTTTGTTTCCGATAGTAATTACCACTGGCAAAAAACAAAAGATATCCCTTTGATTCTTTGAAATAGGGTGTAACGGCTGGGTTCTAAAAATATAATTTTGTTTATTCGTCTCTCTTCTCTTAACTCGTGTCCAACGTAAGTATTTTCGTTTTTTTATAACCTACAATAGGGTGATTGCTATAGTAATTAGCCTATACATAGTTATTGGCATATTGGATTGTTAATAAGTAAGAGACAAAAATATTTACTACATTGGACTGCGTATTGCTCAGAAAAAATATTTGTCTCTTTTCCTCTCTTAGTAACTTCCATTAGGCTTGTTTCTTTTCATTTTAGGCAAGTTGGCCAATAACTATGTATTGGCTAATTATTCTAGCGATCACCCTATATTAGGTAATCGAACAACTTTTGCAATGAAAATTTTGAATTTGAGATGACATCCTCTATGCAAGAGTCAGCCCAATGATGCCTTAGAAAAAATCTCAGCTTTCCCTAGTGCAAGAAGAGTACAGCCACTTTTGATGTAATGAAATTTTACTAACATTGAATCCGATTCTCTTCTAAAATATTAGAGATTCAAATTGGTTCAGACAGGCACTTGAAACTATATTATCTGAACGGTTTCTGACTCTACCCAGCTATATGTTTGGTCGGAACTTGACTCTATTTTCGACTTGTAAATAGGAAACGTCACGAAAACATTTCCATTGTACTTCACCTCAACATTTTAAACAGTGACGTGGAATCAGACGTACCTATTTAACAAAGAGCCTTAAATTCAAATAATTAATTCATGATCATCACCGTAAGACGTAGTGTGGGCAGGCCCCCCATTAGGCGGAGGTCATGAGAAGTGCCTGGATGCGGAAATCTTTAGGGAAGGAATTTGTCCAGCAGTGGACGTCATTTGGCTGAAACAAACGAACATCATCATCATCGACTTGCCAATAAACAAACAAATTTAAGATACCTACATATAAAAAATACCCTTATGTCCAAAGGCTATTCTTACCGTTAGATAATTCCTGGCTAGTTGATAATTAATAAGTGGTGACTGAGTTTGTTCCAGCGTTTCTTCTCAGCACTTGACATATGTTTGTCTCAAAGCGCTGGTAGGGCCCAAAAGATAAGGAGACATGTAAAGTGCCCCATAAGGGCTACCTTTTCTTTTTTTTATATTTAAATTTTGACGTTCATAAGTGCCACTTGTGGTCTAAACTGAATAAATATTTTTGATTTTGATTATTTCAGCCACACGACGTAACACTGCTGAACATCGGCCCCAATGATTACCAGATTGGCCTTTGGGTAGGTTTATCGATTCCAGTGCGTAAAATGGGATTTGGTACACGATTTTTGTGATTTGGATATTGTAATGCTTCAAAAATAAGCTTTCTGGAGGTCAATGAATCATGTATTTTGCGAAGATAGCGCCAAGGAACTACAAGATTTCGTAGTGCCGCGCGATGTCTAAGCCAATTTGTGACGACAACACTGTGGACAATGCAATTATTTTAAAATGAAACTGTTTTGAAAATGAACCAAAACGGCTACAAGGCTCTAACGTTTTTGAACAAATAAGAAAAACCATTTAAGTTTTTCTTAGTTCTATTGCCCTAACTAATAACACGACTGGAAAAGTACTGAATATATTATAATAATCACCTTCACACATTTCCTTCCTGGCACACAATAACTACACAATCCCTGTCCTCCGCGCATCCGACTCCCGCGCACATCCCTATCTACCTACATACATACATCTACGCGTCCCTGTTTATATCCGGCTTGCGTTCATATTGTACCGTTGATTGCAGGTAAGTCACCTTGGTCCAGCCAGAGCGAGCAGGATGGGGAGAGGGGAGCTGATTTATCTGAGTCATGATTCACGTGAGTAAGCGATAAATAATAAGATTTTTAACGAATATCCAATGTTTTGATTACGTTCAAATGCGAAATGAAACTTGATTCAATGTCGAGTTAAGGATACTAATGCCCTATCATTATTAAAAGCTTCAAGAAGTAGTCAGTGGAACCAAGTTGTTAGTTTCTGCCATGTAAGATGTTGAGACGCTATATTGTTCTTTAGTTTATTCAATACTCGAGTCACACGATGCTGGACAAATTAAGCTACTGATTGGACAGCTTATATTGGGTTTTTTGCGCTGGATTTTCTCAAGACTGATCCAAAACATATAACTGGGATGAATAATTGTATTTGAACTGCATACCTAGTTTCTAGATACGGAAAAGAAACTGTTTATAATTTAGTGTGGCACCCACCCACAGTAATGATCACCAAATTAAATCCAAGTTTCAAATTAAGCTTTGAAAACAGTGTTGTGAAGAATGTTCAAAAACTGCTTACTTGTTGAAATATTCTGGTTATTTAGCACCACATTGAAATGTTAATGGGTTTTCTCAAAATAAGCCAGAGATATTGGTTCATTAAATATATTTCTCTGTCTTAATTCAACTGATCCAGGTTTCGGACGGTCACCAATCCACCATCTGCTATACAGCGACGTGTTTACGTGTGAACGCAAACATGAAAGAGTTCCGATCAGCTTGCCAATTGGCTAAAAATGATGGGAAAATATGGAAAGAATCTCCCCAAAGCGTCACGCAAAAATAACTCTACAATCTTTTAGATAGGGTATAAAGTTCCGGTAATCCCGTTGCTATCGGGAACGGGGAGTGTTGGTTCTGGCACCCGGCATTCGATTAAGGACTCTATCGATAAGTCGGTAAAATAGCAAGTCGGTCGATAATCCCAGGGATTTATCGCGGCTCTTACTGCGTGTATTTATATTAAGTGGAGGAGCTGTCAGCGCCTACGCCGACGCCTTTGGATGGCTGCATACAACACCGCTTCTGGGAACACTAACATTTTTAATCATTAGTTTTGTCAGACAAGAGAAATGGTTACATATTCACAGCAATATAATTATGCAAGAGCTAAGACCATGGGCTGCCGATTTACTTACGTGGGTTCAAGGTTTGGTAGAGTTTGTTCATTTGCGAATAAAACTGTCAATTAAACGCTGATGTTAACGTAAAAACTGAAGATTTCAGAGGTAAGAGAGAGATGACGAAAGATCAAAGTAAAATTACGTAGGTACATTTTTTCTCAAAAAATATATCAGTTTCGTCAAACAAATTGCTAATGACTCGTTACGTAAACGTTACTGAAAAATTGCCATTTTGTTAGGCCAATTTATCTGATTTAAAAAAACTAATATTAGCGAAGTGTGACACTCCAGAGACAAAAATATCTGTGTTGATTTAGATGTAATAAAAACGCTGAAATTGAGCCAATTTCATTATTATGTTTTATCACACAACATTCCAGATGTAACGAAAGTAATATCAATCGGAACAAGCAAATACTCTTTGTTGGGTGGATTAACAGATTGTTTTTAACAAAGCATTCAGAGGTGACAGTAAAGAGCCATTTACGTCGTAGTAAATTACGTGAGCTCTCCCAGGTTCGCGTTTAAACCGGTCGAGATTCTCTGGCAAATTATAAACGCGGAAAATAACAATATCAATCTGGTTTATTCGTGTAAAAGGCCGCAGCGACACTTAGCTCTTTCGGCTAGATCGTCCAACTAATAATACTCCCGCACGTGAAATGTTTTGGCTGGTGCTTTTTGTTCGCCGCAGTTATTTCAGTTTTCCAGTAGGATTTTACACAAGACCAGCTCTGGCCGCGTCCACGGTGCAGCGGTCTCGACTCGAATTAAATTGACCGATGTGTTGTGGCTTGAGGTCGAAGTGGCGATGGGTAGGCCCGTAGACAAAAAAGGGTATATCGAGAAGGAAATTTGATTTTTCATCGACTCGTGCGTTAATGCAGTGAATGTGTGTCAAAAGTGTCGTTAGTGTAGTGCTTGCTAGAGGATCACGATGACGGAATTCTTCGGGCCCTGGAGCGAGGATGCGGGCGAGGACGGCGATGTGGTGGAGACGGTGGAGACCGTGGAGACCTTCACCACCACCACCAAGAAGACCCGCTCAGCGCCGGTGAGCGACACTTTGTCCTTGGTCGTGAATTGCGCAAGTATTTTTGCCGCGACTTATTTAGATCTCGGATATGGAATGCTGAGAACTAAAATTTTCTGGGAAAACCGACTGGAATATTTTGATTGCGTGTGTATCATTGTAAGAGCTGTTTATTTTGGCCGGTGTCACGGGCTGTGTCGAAGCCCTGATGTAAAGCAGACCACGCCAAGGTGAAGGCGACCCGTGGCGGACACCATCCGTCAGCTGTCAACTATCTTACAAATCAACTGACGCACCGCTTTGAAAATTAAAATACACCAGTTCATAGCAACAGATATAGGAAAGCGTGGAAAAAAATGATAGTTCGCAGCTGGTCAGCTCAGCGTTAGTCCAAAGTGTTTTTATCTGAAAAGCAAGATCACATTCCTTTGGGTTTTTAATAACTCTTTCCCTTGTAACTGTTGTCCTTACCTTTTTATTTTGGCGTAAACCTCAACAATTATAACGTCAGTGCCTTCAACCTAAGATCTAGTTCCGCTCCATATAACACAAGTGTCTCGTGAACATCATTAAAACCACGAAAACAACGTTAACGTCTGACACTAATCACAAATAATGGGCTAAAAATGCTAATTGTCATTCTTTTAGACATGACTGAGTGTTGAAATTTTAAATGTACGAAATTATTCCCGAAAATCCATACGAATTTCTTAATTTGTAAACCATAAATACATGAAAATGGACGGTCATTAGCACCAATAAAAGACGCGATCTTGAGTGTTCAGAATAACCTCCATAAAAGATTAAAATACAGAGTGACTAGCAGAATGTGAAAAATAAAAGTTTTGATCAACTTTGGGAGAAATAGATTGGTGGACTAAGTGATCAGATACTAATACTTCCTCTAGATCCTGCAACTCTTGATTTCCTAACAGCACAATCAAAAATCTTCGAGAGATCTTCATTCTTCATTACAATTTATTGTATTCTTGTGAAACTTCCATACCCTTTAGGCGAACAATACCCCTGATCTAGTATTCCATTGCACAAGCTCACGCGTCGTGTCGTGGCATCGTGACTCCAAGGCGTGATGCCATGTCGTGTGAAAACTAACAAACCTGTATTAAAGATACAGCATGCACTCTCATTACAGTGATAAGGGTACGGAAAGCCATAAAACCTGTGAAGCGTAACTTAGTTAACAATCTTCTTGCTTGTTGTGGCAGATTTCAATACTATTAGACCAGTACGTTGATCATCATGATCATCTCTTACCTCTTACTTCATGTGACCTTTTACTTTATGTTGCATTTATGCAGAGCACAAACTTATTGCCTTTTTCAAAGTGATTTTTTTGGTTTCAACAACTAATTTCTTTAGTACCTTAAACAACTCTAAATTGATGTTAAGACCTTAATAAATCTGGCAAAAATATCGTGGATCAGACAAAGTTCCAAGACATGAGACATTAAGTTTTGATTCCTTCACAAATTCGAGAAACGACGCCATAAAATCTGTATCAACAAACGATTGTGGAGTCAACGGCTCTTTGTGCGGAGACAATGGATGCATGTGCTTTTGCCGACTTCAACGAAGCGGTGAAATTTCACGCGTAACTGGACCGCTTAATTTCTCAAGTCATTGGGTTATGTAATTGCGAACTTTCTTGGGCTCAAGATTTAGTGCTTTTAATCAGTTTAAAAGTTTGGGCGTGTAAGAAAACAAGCTTGAGATAATGAAAGTAATAAAGTGAAATGCCGAAGTACGAGATCTACTTAATTGGTTTGGTATTTTTTAGATTTTATTAATGTTCTTTTGATGCACTTGAGTGCACTGACTATTCACCGTTGAGAATAAACTTGCACAGCAAAGCTAAGTAAGGAACCTGGAAGCCCTTCTTACTGGTAGGGTAAAAAGATTATGAGACATGTAGAGGCTCCTTAAGAGCAAAATGACGATTTGTAAGAACTATTTATTAGTCTAAACAAATAAAGAAATTTTGACTTTTTTTTTTTGACTGGGTGTATGTCTTTCTTTCTGGGAAATTATAGTTCAAAGGGGTTAACTTCAATATCAAAAACATTTTTTCAGTTTCAGAGTGACACTAGCTTTAGATTATCATGATTAGTGATAATGAACTTGTCAAAAAATATTCGCCAATTCTGCGATGTATCGTTAAAAATTTTGCCTAGTACAACGATGATTCTTTCCAACTGAGTGGATAAACTTTAGACAATGCTTAGACCTAATTTAAATATCTAGGCCGATAATATTAAAACTGCTCATACAGCTAAGCTAGACCAACATCGTCTACAACAACAAACTGGACCAATTTGATTTCCAAACATCTAAATCTGTTCCAAACATTGTTTACCGTAGAGCCGAACTGCACATATGATTCATGGATTTGCTCCACTTTGCGTTTCCTTGAGAGACATTGTAATTATGTAGGTACTGGCTTTATTACAGCTATTGCAATTTCCGACCAATATTTATGACATTCACATTTGACGGGACAAGTAAGCGTTGCTAATAGGTGCTTTCATCGGAACATGTTAGAAGTTTTTCTGTAAAATGCAGTTTCCAAGCTGCCTTTTGTTCTAATGCGCTTTTTCTGTTTACGGTTTACGTCATAGACGATTTTTTGGCATTAGGCCAATTCTCCACAATGCACACCTAGCGTTTATACTCTCTGTATACAAATTCATCGAGAAAGTATCAAGCAATAAAACGTATGTTCACTGTTCAGAGATCACCGCCCTGGGGTCAACGGCCTGGGTTTCTGGGAAATGTTTATAATAGAGCAAATGCAACACGAATATTATAGAAGAAACTCTTTTTAGGTTGGTATTTTTGCTAGAACAAACATCGCTAAAATTAGGTCAATCTGAGAGAGCGTTTGTACTTGAGGTAGGACTAGTCATTGACAAGGCTGCTCTGACGAAATCATTTGAAGTTTTTAACTGCCATTTCATTTTAATTGAATCTTATAATTAAAGTAGACACTGATGGCGCATTCTTTTAAATGGGACTTCAGATAGTAAAGAACTTTAAGAGAGATTTAAAATCATTTAACGTTTGCCTGCATTTTTATTAAAATTTTCGTGAATTTCCTTTAGTCTCTGAAATAATTTTACGACTTTAACATTTATCTCGGATGCAGTACGTGTGAACTAAACTAAAATAATAACATTAACAAGTAACGCGTATTGGAAACCCATCACAAACGCGAGACGGAGCGGATATGTTGACAGCTGACAAAAGTGTTAATTGCTCGCTGTTCAAACAAACACACGATTACCGAGCCAAGACACATTAAAGAAGATATTTAAGAATCCAATTAATGTTAATAATACGTAATTGTAATGCTAACAATTTTACATGAAGCGCTAATAAGGCGAGAAAGAAATAAATTAATATGTTCTATTTTATTGTTAATCGTATTGAATCATCAATTGTAAAGAATATAGCATTAAATTAACAAACAAATTATTTGAAACTTTTGTCACGAAAGAGCTTCGAGCGATAAAACTAAATACCTTTACTTTATGTAAAACTTGAATGTAGAGACAAACTTTAAAACCTTTCTTCTGTTAGTGAGGACCACATAAATAACGTCGCGTCTCGTAAATTAGACGTAAGTGACTATAACAGCATTTCAAAGAATTAAAATCAATCTAAGATTAGGGGCTATGCTTAACAAGCCAAAGGGAAACTTAGGTGCTCGATGGTAGAGATGAAAATCGCTTAGCCTGTACGCGTAAATGAAACGTTGTTGAACTGTGTGCATTAGAAACTAAAATAGAATCATGCTCTGCCCCAGCGAGATAGGTACATTTTTGGAAATCAAATAAAAGCATGGCGTTTAAAAATAAAACCAAAGCAAGGTTGATTTTAAATAGAAAGCGCATGCGCTTGTAGGGTTCGAGGCGGATGACGCATGTAAGGTCAACTTTACGTTTGTTTGACGATGTGATTTGTAGAAACGCGCGAGTGAGTAGAGGCATACCTCTACCAAAAATATTGTCATAATATTTCATTGGAAAGTCATGCGTGACCGACACGTAATGGTTATTTGTGTAACCGAGAGCGTCACGCGCCACAATTCAGCGAGACTGAATTATCTGCTGCGTTAAGAGAATCGTTTCTAGATCTTTGAACCGTCGCTGTAAAGGTTCAAGGTCCAGGCTGAAGTGTACAGTTGAGAGAACATCTGAATTAACATTTTTGTTCAAAAATCGCACCTATTTACAAGAAAATAAAATGCCTTAACACAGTGTTTAGATTGATGCACCGCTTCCGTACTAACAAGCGGAGCAAATGTTTCTGACATTAAAGCTTTATTCAATTAGTAGAGCTTAATGTTAAAGCTTCTAGGTCTAGAGGAGTGTATAATAGCATGTCCAGGTTTTCAAATAAATACTTGTATTAGTAAGTAGGTACTATAATATCGATACCTCTGGGCTCAAAGGTCGTAAAGGACAAAATACCGAAAATGAGTTATTTATACAGTTTTACTCAGAATTTCATTCTCTATCGATCTGTATATTTAGTTTGTCGAAAATCCCAAAAAAAGTGCCTTTACGACCCATCATTTTTGATAAGCTAAACAGAATTCATCGTGAAAATTGGGATGTAAATAACATTTGATTTTTTAGTACAGTTACTATGGTAGTAAAGAACAAGTAAACACACATTTTTGGGCGTATAACCTAACATTTCATACCAAAGTCTAAATAATTTGTCCTTTACGCCCTTAGATTATCTAAACAAATATTTTAAAAATCTACAAAGAGAGGATATTAAAATAACTGAAAAGGTAAATTTATTAGATGTTTCTTATTGTATTTAAGTATGTGCGTTTGGAACAAACGAAAGAAATAAAAAATCATCAAAATATGTAATAAAACTATTTTAGAGTGTAACATTTATGTGATTTGTACATATAAAATGATGACATCTACCCACATCGGGTAAAGTAATGTTGCTTTTTATTATTTCTCATATTTGAAGAAACTAGG